GTTTTTCCCTTGCGTTTTTAAAAAGTTTCACGTATACACAACAACGTTTTCAAAACGATTCGTGTTTACACATATTTGCGAAAACGGCCAAAAACGCTGTATTACGTATGCCCGGCCAGTAGTTGGCGCTGTCACCTTGTTAGTAAACAGTACCTGTAGGGAAGTGACGATTATATGTTGTATATGATGCCTCTCCGCTGTTGGTTGTAATATTGGTGAAGTAAATCCACACTTTGCTGAAGAAGCGTTAGCAAACTTTTGAGCAGCAACAACAGTACCATGTACTCCGCCATTGTTGTGTATGTTTGTTCACGCTTGCCTTTAAAATCGACACGTACTGCGCATGTCTACATACCTAACATGTACTGCACACGTGCATGACGTCACCGTTTTCAAAGATTCCCGTATTGGGTGTTTACACAGAAACAATAACTGTGCCGTTTTCAAAAACTTGCACTTTGAAACCAGTTTTCAAAAATATGCGTTTTCAGTCCCCAAAACGCCGTTGTCGTGTAAACGAACAGGCAAAACGCATAAAACGTTTCCCGGTTTTGGCTGAAAACGTTGTCGTGTAAACGGCCCCTGAGCCTTGACTGTGTCAGTTGCTGTCTATGCAGGGTCAGAAAGCTCTCGGATTTCATCAAAAATATCGTAATTTGTGTTCCAAAGATGAATGAAGGTCTTGCAGGTTTGGAACGAAATTTCATTTTTGGGTGAACTATCTCTTTAGGAAATATTAGACATTTCATATATATAAAACATGCATGCAGACATAATGACTAACGCGAGCTGTTACCTGACTGCGGTCTAGAGTTGGGCTGTTCGGAGGGCTTAGGGTGCATCAAGACAAAAGGCAGCTCCACCGACACATCACTATCAAAACACAAAGAAGTGTTTGGATTCAGTGTTAGGATATTCTGTACAAATATAAAGTCTGAAGAATTTCTGTGTCAAATGACATACTCACCCTCCACGAGACACCACAAGCTTCACTTTAACTCTGTAGGACACCAAGATTCCCAGGACCTCCTTATTGGACACATCCTTCACTCTGTAAGCACAGGGTAACACATGTTGAACATACAGAGCAATTACAAAAAGCACGCAGCTGTTTGAGAGGTTCTGCTGGAGGGTTTATGGACATATGGGTTGGGTTAACTTTATAAGCACTAAAAACACAAAATGTACTACAGCTTAAAATGCTTTGCCTTTTTTCTGGCAGCACGTAAGAAGCAGCATGTGATGCACTGTCAGCTGAAGGCCACTTACATGGTGCTGGAGGCCAAGTTGGTGTCTTCATGTTTTAGCTGTCCATCCAGAGCCAGACCCCTCTTCTCTTGGTTATTGCTCAGTGTGGGGGTGAGGGTGTACACCTTACAGAACGTGGAGCTGGGTGACACCTGGTCACTGCACAACATGGCCAAAACAAAACAGAGTGAGTTCTTGTGCTTTATGTATATCAGAAAAATAAGCACTGACCATATTGTTAAGATATTATGATTAATCTTCAGTACTAGAAATTGTTTGAAAACTGTATATGGTGAAAATTGTGGCTAAATGCATTTGGGTAATAAGGGGGTGAAGGGGTGGTAAAATAGCTATATAATAAGTTGGAAAACTACTGGAAATCTTTTTAATAACTGAAATATGGCTGAAAAAAGAAAACAATGGATGAAAAACTTTAAAATGAGAAATGTTGCCTTGGAAACCAACATAAAATAAATTTAAGTATTAAAAACTCAAAAAATGTATTCAAAATAAAATAAATAAATAAAAATAAAGCTAAATAGAAATACCAAAAAACGAACTAAAACTAAAATTAAATTAAAATGAATATATACAGTACATAAATAATACTACAATAGGGCTGCAAAACGATTAATCGCATTCAAAATAAAAGGTTATGTTTTACATACAATGTGTGTGTGGACTGTGTATATTTATTATGTATATACAAATACACACACATGTATATATTTAAAAAAATATTTGTATGTATATATATTTATACTTGTATAGAATTTATATTTTATATAAATATAAATATTTTATATATAAACAAAACATATATTTTTAAAAATATATACACGCATGTGTGTGTATTTATATATACATAATAAATATACACAGTACACACACATATATTTTGTAAACAAAAACTTTTATTTTGGATGTGATTAATTGCGATTAATCATTTGACAGCACTAATATTTATTCATTTATATTTTATATTAAACTCTTGTGTGTTCTTTGCAACAACACTTTTTGTGGTCATTATTATTTTTTGCTCATTCATGTATTTATTATTTGTTATTGTTATATCTTTATTGTAATTACACGTCCATGCAATGAAATTCTGCTGGAGCAATCCCATTTACAGCATTAAGAATAAAAAGATAATTATTTACATTTAACATTAAAATACATTTACCCCATAAATAAATAAATAAATACTCTAGGAATCTAAGAAATAATATAAAAATACACACATTTGTATATAAACATACGAAGATAAAAGCACCATAAAACACCAGAGACATTGCACAGTAATAATTCTCATTGATGCTCCAGAGTCCACACATAGGAGTCATTATTGCACAGAGTTTGGAAGTTATTAAAGGTTACAATGAATTCTGCAGCCTGTCCACATCTCTGGGGTTCGCAGTCTGCCTGAAGGAAGAGTAACAAAGAAAGGGTTTCCGGGGTGTGAGGGATCCTGCTGGATATTTGTGGCCCGTGTAAGGAGGCAGTTTGAATAGATATCATCCAAACTTGGGAGGGGGGAACCGACAATCCTTTCAGCCATCTTCGCAACCCGCTGCAGGTCTTTTTTATCCGAAGCAGTGCAGCTGGAATACCACACTGTACAAGAGTATGTTAGAATGCTTTCTATTGTGCAGCAGTAGAAGCTGATCAGCAGTCTCTGAGGAAGTTTGTTACGTCTCAGAGTCCTCAGGAAGAACAACCTTTGCTGGGCTTTCTTAATGATACAGGTGGTGTTCAAACTCCAGGTCAGGTCCTCAGTGATATATACTCCTAGAAACTTAAAACCTGAAACTCTCTCTACCTCCTCTTCATTAATATACAAACTATTGTGGGGTGTTTTTTTTGCTTCTCCTAAAGTCTATTATGAGGCACTCTTATATTTTGAAATTCACAAGCTAGCTTCTGTGCAATCCCAGATAGTTTTTACCCATCTAACAAAGGGGTTATACTTTGTATTTTTTGTCTTTTTGACATGATGCATCACAATCCTTTTTGAAGATTAAAGCCTGCCTTGAAAAATTCATTCTTGAAATGTTTCCTAATGCATTTTTCAGCTGTCTGTCATGTTTTGTAGCTTCAGTTGTGATGTTGAGCATACTATCTTGTCCCATACTTTCTGTACTCGCAGTTGTGCCCATCAATGGCCATGTGGATTTGAAGAGCACCCTGACCCCTCCCCTCATCACTCACACGGCCGCAACACCCATGCCCATCCCTAAGATAGCAGGAGGAGGAGACCCGGCCCTAGGCGACGAGTCCCGCAGAGGCAGCAATGTCTCAATGGATCCCAATGGCCAAGACAAATCTCCAGTCAGTAGCTACCTTTCTCTGTCATGATAGAGAAAGTTATCCAAACTACTGTCCTTTTTTTTTTTTTGCACTATAATGCACATCAATTTTTTTACTCTCAATTACTGTAGGTGATTAAGTGAGACTTGTAGGGTAATTTAGTTATTCAATATAATATAATATAATATTACATAACATAACATAACAACAAAATATTTTAAATTTATAATATTTTAAATATATGAATAATTTCTATGGACACAGGTAAATTTTTGAGTACATGTGGTGGAGTTGGTTCCAATTTTTTTGTTCTAAATTATTTCTGTGTGATTTCGACAAAAACGTTGACACACAGGTTTTACAGTTCGCAGTGAGGTCTTATTTGAGAGTCACGTATTCCACCTATCTCTCTGCAGTCGAGTGCACGGAGCTCCCCAAATGCCCCCTGGAGTTCAGCCAGTAGCTGGAACAGCAGGCGCTCCAGCTGGAATAGCCTGGGCCGAGCCCCCAGCCTCAAGAGGCAGAAACACCAGTCTGGCGAACGGCGCTCCTTGCTGTCCGGCGATGGCCATTCCAGCTCCGATGAGGGAGATGCGGGAGAGAGTGCAGGCGGCGGGGGCATGTCCGAGGGTGATGATGCCTCCCTCACCAGGACGGACTCCCTGGGCCAGAGGCCTCGGCACAGGCGCATGGAATCCCTGGAGACACGTAGCTCGTTTGATCTGCCTCCAGACACCCTGCAGGTGCCATTCATGCATCGTTCCGCCAGCATACACAGCGCCCGGCCGCCCAACTTCCTCAGCAACGGCAAGAGTTCTCCATCTGCAGCCACCACTCAACTTTCTCTAGATGAACACCACAGCGAGGATGACAATGCAGATGATGAAGGAAACCTGGTGAGAAAATCTACACTTGATTTATTACAGCTATTTTCAGTTCCTTACAATAGATTTATCACAAATATCCACAGCTTTTTTTCTATTCAATTCACTGTTATAAGATCACAGGAAACAGTACTAACTTTATCTTCTACTGCCAGCAAAACTAACTTACTGGTCCTGTAATCTCATGTGGTCATCCATCTTTCAGAGTCGGAAGGCTCGTCTCTACCGCTGGCTGGAGCACAAGCAACCCCAGTGGTGTCGGGAGAGGGTCACCTGGTCTCTTTACCTGTTCCCCCCTCAATCACGGTAAGTGTCTGTGGCTTTCTTGGCTCTCACAGTCTTTCCTTCTGAGAAGACCATCTTAGACATTGTCAGTAAAGAAATGCAGTCCTGAGGATCCCTTTTATATTGAGGAGGCCATAAATGGTTTATATTGTGTGTTTTTCACCCACAGGATTAGCATCTTAGTAGATCAGCAGTTTCTGTAATATTCACACAGCCTGTCTGGTACCAACAACCATCCCACATTCAAAGTCACTTTAATCATCTTTCTTCCCCATTCTGATGCTCGTTTTGAAATACAGCTGATCGTCTTGATCATGTCTACATGCCTAAATGCCCTGAGTTGCTGCCATGTGATTGGCTGATTTGATATTTGGGGCAGTTCAACGGGTGTACAAATAAAGTGGCTATCTAATTGGAAGTCTATAGCTGTGTTCAAAATCACCCCATATACCCTCATTCACTCTCATACAGTCCAGTTGAAGGAGTGAATGAAAACGAGTGCGTGAATTCTGACTCTTTGAGCTGCCGCTTTTACATAGTTTGTACTTGTATCTATTTAATAATAATCTAAAACTTAGCAAACTGGCAGCTCCAGCAATGATGAAAAGATTTTTCTTGAACTCTGTCATGGCATCTAGAATTTATAAAACTTAAACTATTTAATAATCAATTAGAAACAAATTTATATTGGTATAATGCGCTGTACCCACATTGAACCAGTGGTTTGTAAAAATGGATGGATGATTCAGCTGCAGGCGCCATCTTCTGGCAAGACATGTGAATTCTTTCCGTACGGCCCTCATATTGAATTATGTGTATTCTCTAGCTGTTGAGTGTACATTGGTTGTACACTCATTATTGTGGTTCATTATTGGATTGAATGAGTGCACTCGATAACGTCCACTATAGTTTCGGACACCACTACAGATGGCTTTCCCTTCAAATTGCGCCCTATTTAACGGTATAGGGGACGATTTCGGACACAGCCAATTAAATGTCCTCACTTAGAGTATACAGCGAAACAAACGTCTTCCTGGTTAAAATACTTACAGTAAGAAGTCTGCTGGAGACACAAGCTCTCCAGCATCCAAATCACAACATATTCTGGTCATTTCAGCAGGTGAGTCACATTTATCATAGTACCGTGGCTCACGTTCAGTTCAGTTTAGGTTGCCCCTAAGCCCTAGAAAATTCCTCCATTAAGATGCTTAAGGGGTGAGAAATCTCCTGTACTTTTTAGCCTCTCCCTTAGGCATCTTCTTGGTCTTCCCCTTCCTCTCATCTCTTTCCAGTGCTTTCCATTTTTGAAACGCATGTCTGCTCACATTAAGCTCCATGGAGGCTTCACTTATTAGAGGGAGAGGAGAGGAAAGACGAACTCAGCATTGCATGTTACACTCTGTCAGCGCTTTACTAATTAAACATCAAACAACCTCAGATCATCCTCCTCCTCCTTCCTGTGTGAGCCCTAGATGATGCAAGCGCTCACCACTTTGCACTGTTATGACATGCAGACTAGCATACATTGGTGTCACCAAATCCAAAGCTAAAAAGCTTGTGAATTTAATATGTCCATCTGTGTGTGTTCACTATCAGAAGATCTACCATGTTACATCCACATTCAAATCCACATGGTTAATTATGCAGGACTGAGCATTAAGTGTTTGGATTGGTCTGTAAATATAATTTTTGTTTTCATGTATTTCAGCTAATATACTGTACATACTATATGTACAGTACAGTATGTATATACTACTGTTCAAAAGGTTGAGGTTGGTAAAATATTATTAAAATATTGTTTAAAATATTATTAAAACTGTTTTTAGCATTCATAATAAGAAATGTTTCTTGAGCACAAAATCAGCATATATATA